AAAAAATAGAATATTATTAAAAATATGTGACTATTTTTTTCCTTTATATGTGCGACATTATATCAGTTTCTATTATCCATTTGTTTTACTAATTTATATCCCTTTTTTTGTCAAAATTCAGATTTTGATTCCGATCTACTTGTCATGAAGCACAGTTATCGTGATATTTTTTCCTTTGATGCTTGTGATACTTGTGCTGTCATATAAATTTTACAAGATTTTTTCTTTTTTTTTGTTTATGACTATATCTATATTATCAAGAAACTCATTATCAGTTGAGTGTGCAGAGATGTTGGTTACATTATTAATACTTTAATCATATTAAGAATTTGTTTCTGATTTATTTCATGATCGACTTTTCTTATAATGCTTGAAATCGTTGTATTTTCATTTCGGTATGAATAAGATTGAAAATTGTAAAGATCATATGATCAAAAAGATACAAAAAAAAAAAAAAAACAAACCAACAATGTAGCAATATATATATTAAATTCCAATTTTACTAGAAGAAAACGAAAGTCCAGCAATGATAAAACAGAAAATTAACTGCATTTTTTTAGTCGTTTTGAAAATGAATAAATCATACTAACTGAATAGAATAGATTGAATTGTAAGCGTATATTTGCCTTCTCTGTTAATGTTAAGATATTGTTATATTTATCGTGACAATAGAGAAATCTTTGCCTTTCTATCTGCCTCGGTTGATTTTGCTCAGACTATACGAATAAATAGTCTATGCACATCAAAGCTGAGAATATCAACCAATCGCGTGATTTACAAACTTTGTTATAATGAGTCGTGAGAGAGTTCTACAACATATTCAAGGTAACATTTCTCAATGATACAAGCAAATAAAATAAAAGTTTTATGATGCAAACATTGAAATAAAAGAACGTATTTTTATCATTTTCATTTTGTCTGATTTCAATTGACAGTATGCTTTAAGATATCATGAGTCGTCATCTTTTTAGAATAATTCAGTATGTCAAGTATCATGGCTTTGAAAAGTCTTGATACTGTAATATCGCCATCCTTTGTGTAGATAATGAAATGCCTAGTTTTTTCGTTATTTTATCTTCATTTCTATTTTTGATCATCGGCGTATTATGTCTATTAATTCTACAGTTCATTCGAATGGATCGTTCATTAAATCATCCATTTTTCGTAGAGGATAGTGTCATTTTTCTCTCTCATTCATACTACTAGTAACCAATTTTATCTTCGTTTGCTTTTTCGTTGCTATTCATACATGGCTTGATATTTGTTTTTGGCGATTGGTTTCATTTCGTTTTTGTACGACCAGTTAAGAGCTATATGGCTGGTAAAACGGTAACTCAAACGAGCGGCTCTATAGGAGTCAATTTTTAAATGTATAGTGCTTTCATAGAAATCTTTTATTCTCACATAGGCAATACTGTAAAATATGAGTGCCGTTTATTGCCATTGATATAAACCCGTTTTTAGATTTATGAGCGTAATCTATCCTTTCATAAACCTTGACAAGAATTTGTGAAGCGTTGCAAATTTCTGTACTCGTGTACTGTTTACTGTGTTCAAAAACCCTTTTAAGGTATATAAACAGAATAAACACAACCGTAGAATCATAATTCCTGAAAAGTGTTTATGAACATAGTAAGTAGTACAAGAGTATATGAATTTGCAATCATTCATAAATTCTTGCCAAGATTATTGAACAAAAAGGGTTTATATCAATAGTAATAAACGGACATGAGGATTTATTATTCTACACTTAGTTTATACAATCAATGCAGATATATATGAAGAGATCGAACGTTAGGGATAATGTCAGTCTTTCGTCTTTTCATTTATTGTGTAGAGCAAAATAGAATTGCCATTTTAAAAACATTTTTTATTCATGTCAGCAAAGTTTGACAAACAGACGAATAGCTATAGTTACATATCATAATTAGTTTTCAATTATATATATGAATGTAGAGGCGTGAGTGGGTGTATATGTGAGACTGATGTTGGCGATAACTACTCCATCCATATTCACACACATACTTCAAGATTTATGAAACATTTAGGATGCAACTTTTCATATGTTTCTTCTTGATTGATCTTCTCATCGGCGTCAAAGGTTTGTTGATTGTTACTTTCTTATGTCTTACAAAAATCAGAATCAATCATTAACAGGTCAAACAACAACAACAGCACCTAACTATGAATGCTCGCTGGAGGACTCGAATGTTCAATTCATGTTTTGGTATTCGTCACATTCTGCATCGGAACCTTCTGAAAGTTGTTCTTTGCCGTTGTGCAAGGATTCTTCAAATAACAATGGTAGCAGTTGTCTCATACCGTCAACACCTTGTTACGAGTATCGCACGGCTATCAATACGCGTTATTGTGCTCCAGGAAGTCTATGTGAGCTTCTTGAGAAGTGCAACAACACCATGAGTCAATGTACATCGAAGACATCAGTATGTGTTGAGAATTCATGCTGCACACCAAAAGCAGTATGCTTGCCATTATCGTGGACCACTTTATGTTTACAAGGTAATGACATAATTGAGTTTATCGATGTCTAGAGCCGATTTGTAGACTTTGAGAATGAAATTCACCTGATACTGCGGTTGGCTGTTGAGTGTCTTTAGTAATTTAAGAAGCTTATATTTTTAATGTCGTTATACGCTGTTTCTACCATCATAGCTAAAGATAGTTTGATGCTTCTGTTCGTTTATTGGTTAAGTGACGATGATGGCTGGTTTCTACTACATTGATCCCATTGACATATCACTTGAATCATAATGTCTTCAATAATATCCTACTTCGAACTCACGGAACAAATTACACGCACTCTTCATGCTGTAATTCGTCAGTCTTTCGTCTGTAGAAATCTTCAGAAAAAAATATGATGCAATTCCTATGATCATAAGTCGATTTCATTGTGAAAGAGACATTTTTTCAGGTTAGGTAGAATTTGTTCACAACCACAATTCCAATGATGTCAACTATGTGATTTTGTTACCGTACAGATGTGAAAGAGAGTTATAGAGGCAGTTGAAGAATATTGAAAAATGAGTAGTGGTAGTGAATTATAAGTTCAAGTAAGTCTTCATCTATAAACTATTGGCATATGTAGAAGGCGATATAAAATAGCAAGGTTCGACTTACGATGAAATATTGCATCATAAAGGAGATTGGCTGGAATGTCACGTCCATGGTTATTACGGTGTTGCGTGTTCATATAACGCAAATATTCGAGTTCAAGCTTTTAGCTGTTTTTTTAAATATTTTTAACACCTATTCGAGTGGTGCTCATGCTTAAAACTCACTCTAGTTCAATTGAACAGATCTGAAATCAGATGGACACAATTCGTCTACACATCAGACATTATTATAGAATAGTTTTAGACCCTTTCTGATGATGAAATATTGTGCGAATAATAATCGTTATTTGCACATTATGTCATCATTAGGCAGGGTCTAAAATTAACTTGTGTCGGCCTGCACTACCTATGCGTTTATCATCGTAACTATTTCGAAATATATGTCAGGATCTGTAACGATGATCAGTGATGTAGGATATGGAGAACAAATCAGATAAGACTCGAATGCTTTTCTAAGCCCTCTGATAAAAGTTAATGTTGTGAATAAATCAAGGAATGATCGAATTCGATTTAGAATCAAAGAATACCGTAACTCAGATTGTCACTAAAATCTAAAACGAATGAATCTAAGATTGTACGACAAATTGGATCATTACATGAAAAAGTATTTTTCTATTGTACGAAGCGTTAAAAGAGTACTTGATTTGACCATTATCTTTTCACAAACGAAACCAATAATATTCGAGCCTGCTGATCAACAATCCAAAACTCGATATAGACGATATACATTCCATTAAAGTTATAAAAACGTACATGACGTTTTCAATAAATTTTAGCTTGCGCAATATTGTACTTGATTATATTGGTCAAGGACTTCAGCTATTGCGAAAGTGCGTTTATAACTGAGATGGTTTTTGCCATAAGATACCAACGTTTGACAGTAACGATTTCGTTACATCGTTTCATAGTTTCTTTCAAGCACTATTCAATAGTGCAGTGCATCATGATTTACTTTTCAGTCAACTTCTTCCATATAGTTCTCTTGGCAAAGGTTGAATTCCATATATACATATTCAGACGCATAATTGCTTCCATTCGTCTAGTATATCTCGATACTGAAGAGCACACGACCATACAATTGTTCAAGACTTTGACAAGCACAACTGATAATGTGTGTTGAAACATATAGCGAGAAAAATGGCCTTACAGTTTACCCGATAAACCGTGATATACATGCAGACATGCTGCTTATTAGCTGTATCATAGACCGACGTGGATGTGACGAGAATTCAGATTTCAGCATGAAGTGGCTCCATCGTATTTCATATTTCAGTCATGTAAGAAATACACTGAAAGCCTCATCGTAAGGACTAGAATCATGATAGAATCATATAACTGCCATAGTTTTCAGAGTGAAAACTTAATGTCAACAATACTTCGCCGAAAGAGACATCCATGACGATAACATATCGTCATACTGTATTCAGTTTGACCTCTTGCCAGGTTGCTGAACTTATCTTTATTGTTGTGTTTCCTCACATTTGAGCGACCGACTATGGTCAGCTGTCACGAAGTATAAGCATTGGTCTTGATACAACCCGTAAAGAGAGTTGGCTTATCGAGCGTTATAAACCACGCTAGTAAATGTACTCGTAAAAGAGCTTACAGTTATTGCTTCTTGCTCAGTTTACGACTTCATCTTAAGATGAATATTTTTTATGGAGACACCTGTAAGTTTTGCTCTGTAGAATAAAAATCCTATTGACTAATCATAAACTTTCAAATGTCTAATAACTTGGCATAATCTTTTAATAATATTGATTAGCTGATCTATATACGCAATAGAGGATTTATTGTACGAAAAATATGTCTCCATCATGTGTTTATATTTTCCAATTACAAAATCTAGCAACCGAGACAACGACATTAATACCGACGACTACAACAGTAGCATTCATGACGACAATAGGGGTCACAACGACAACGACGACGACAGGGGTCACAACGACGACGACAGGGGTCACAACGACAACGACGACGACAGGGGTCACAACGACAACGACGACGACAGGGACCACAACGACAACGACGACGACAGGGGCCACAACGACGACGACAGGGGCC